TGGTACTTGCAACTCCAATTGTCGTAGGTCAAATAGGAGCTCACTCCTGTCCAAACCATGCATTGATATTATCCCCACCTTCACCACCTAGGTCCAATTATTAGGTTGGGTTAGGCCATATGGACCTTTAACACACCTCGGTACATTTAGGAGTAGACCACCTACATTTGAACTGTAGATTATTGTTGTATTCTCCAATGTGGGACTTACATGTCATGACTTGTATCGAGCCACCTACTCCAAAAGTCTCCACCTTTGCGAGATCTAAGCCAAGGTTATCCGCCTATTATGACATTCGTACTTTTCAAGAATGACACAATCCCTGCAACTCCACCACAAGGATTTCTTGAGCCTCGCTAGGAGCCCTTGCTCCACCTAACACTTGGATTTTCTATAGCCTTGCTAGGTGCCCTTGAGCCTTTTGCCATTGCTCTACTAACCCGCTCCACCTTTCTTCCCCAGTCTAGTAATTTGCTCTAGTCTCCTCCTTCAACATGTCAATGGCTTCACCTTGAACCAAATGCGCTGTAGCTGAACTAGGCTTTAATACTGATACCAATTGTTGTGCCAACAGGCCCAATAAGAGCCCATTTCCTATTTGAACAATGCTTCGATATTATCCCTACCTTAACTACCTATGTCCAATCCTTGGATAGGGTTAGGTTCAATGAACCTCTATGTGTGGGGTTTTAACTTAAAAGGTCTCGGTACAATTAGGAGTGGACCAAATATAACTTCTAGATTATTGTTGTGTTCTCCGATGTCGAACTTACACATCGTGGCTTGTATCAAGTCACCGACACCAACATGGTCACTAACTTTTAAAAATTGATAAAAACAACATGTGTTCATCATATAACTACCAAGTTAATTGCTATTTTTTAACAACCACTTGATATGCCCATTTTGTGCTTACATATAATTATTGATGCACATAGACTATTTTTGTTCTCTCCTTGCACCCAAAAAATTCAATTTTTCTAGAAAAATAATAATATTTGTTGCCTATATGTGGCATTTGTAATCCTTGTGGGAAAAATCTAAGATGTAACCATCCAAGACATTATAATTGTTTTTATTTCTTTATTTGAAGACATTAACCAAATTCCGAAAGACCCTAAATCATTAGAGTGCAAAATGTAGTTGACCCTCTTTGTTGATCACACATGATCCCACTATACCCGGTATGATACTAGCTTAAAAGTGCAATTTATTGTCCCTAACATATACATTTAAAGCATAGTAATTGCTTAATAATTTATTCATTTTTGTCTATTGTATTTTCATTTGGTTGAATAAGTTTAATGTTTCATTGTTAATTATTTTGACCTAATAAATGATATTTTTGTGTAGGTAAACCAAATTTATAGTAAAATAAAGTTCAACATACAATCCCACATTTGCATACATATAAAAATAAACTTCAATACCCAATTGATTAGTACAAATCAAACCAAAATTTTCAAAAATTTAAAAATAGAAAACAATAAGCATCATGTCTTCATTTCTATTCTCAATCACCGGAAAGGTGCAAAGGCCTCATAACATTTGATTTTTTTTTTTTAACTCTACATAAGAAACACACAATTACATATTTAGTTTCAATATGGTAAACCCATAAGTTATAAGCAATTAAAAAAGAGATGTTATTACCTGACTCAATGGTTTCATAGAACTCCATCTCTTCAATGGTTGGCGTAAGTTCTAAAGATATTGAAGTGGACTTTTACCAATTCTATGTACATATCAAAGCCTCAACCATAGCAGGACTCAAGGAACTACGTAATGAGTTAATTGTTCAACCTCTCGTGCTAAAAGTAGATTATGAGGCAACTGTAAAAACTGGAATTGCAAGCACATCCTTTCAAATATCAAATATCAAATATCTAGAAGCATTCTGAGGCAATGGTTGCCAACACTTGATATTTAGAAGCATTCACCCTCCACCAATTTCAAATATCAAACTGTTCAACATCCTATTTTGCAGCATCAAATAAATATCTATCCATCTAATGAGATAGAATCACTGCCTCTTTTTCCATTTTTCTTTCAAAGCTTTTTTCCTATCACATTTGAGGACTGAGAACTACTACCACTTTGAGTTGGATTACTAACAAAACCTACCTAATCAAAGCCATATAGCTTAAACAAATGTGCTTTAATACTAGCTATCTTCATGACAATGTAAACTTCATATTCCACATACAATTCAGCAATATGTATAGAAAAGTTGTCCAACTTATACCTAGGATCAAGTACCACAACTATCAACAAGAATTGGTTCAGAATATCAAGTGATCCCCAATATTTGTCATACTTCAATTTCATATATTGTGCCATGTTAGATGGAGGAGGATAATCTATTATACTCAATTCTGCCAGTTCACAATCAATTGCAAATAAATCATGAAAATTAGTATGAGATGTGGCATGCAAAGTGGCACTACACCTCAAAGTGAAGTTATAAAAAAGTTTCATGAAGTTAACAAAGATATGAGCATTTGACCAATCCTCCTCAACTGGTGGCATACTCCCTTTATCAAAATAGGTTTCAAAATGTCTATCCTTATCTTTCAGCTTAGCAAAAGCCTTTTTCAATTTTAAAGAAGCTTCTAGCATCATGTAGGTGGAATTCCATCTAGTTGGCACATCTAACACAAAATAAATCTTATCTTTTTCAATGCAAGATTTAAAAATTTCCAACCTTTGTGGGGAGGATCTAACATACATGACAACATCTCAAATACTCTTAACATAAGAATGTAACTCCTTTAACCCATGAGTCAAAATCAAATTAACAATATGAGCACAATATCTCATATGCAAGTGTTCACCATCTAGCAACGAACCTCCATTTGGCCACTCCTTCATCTTATTTTATGAATAAGATACATCTTTTATTATTCGCACAAGCATTATCTAGCATAACTCAATGCTAGATAATCATGTATGATGACAATGCTGCTTGTATAGCTCAAATTAAAGAAGGGTTTATCAAGGGTGACAGAACCAAACATATACCACCAAAGTTCTTCTACCCACATGAGCTTCAGAAGAATCAACAGATTGAAGTCAAACAAATTCGTTCCCAAGATAACCTGGCAGATCTCTTCACCAAAACTCTTTCGAAGTCTATATTTCAAAAGTTGGTATATGGTATAGGGATGCGACGACTTTACAAGCAATCAGACTGTTCAAGATCAGGGGGAGATATCAATTGAGGAAACTCCTCAGTTTTACTACATTGGATGTATGTGCAATGTACTCTTTTTTCCTTCGATCAGGTTTTTATCCCATGTGGTTTTTCCTGACAAGGTTTTTAACGAGGCAACATTTAGCACGTCCAACACGATGTCATTGTATGGTGGACATCTAAGGGGGAGTGTTATAAATCCATACATTATGAGTTTATAAGTTATGGATGCCCACAATAATAGCCCCTATTAACCTATCATAATACCCATCATTATGTACTTGTAACCTACCGATTATGGCACCTACCGATTATGGTTGGTAAATGATTTAGGCCTCTGTACCCCTATAAATAGTGTATCCAAATATGAATGGAAGACAAGTTGATTTGAGCAAATTATATTGCCTCTTTGTTCCTCTTATTTCTCCTTACTAATTCCCTAGTTTTACAACACAACTCTCTTTGTTGTTAGATAAAATTGCAATTATAAATTGTTAATAGACAAATTGGTAATGAAAAAACAGCATTTAAGGATTTGAAAGAGTCCTAGATAGGAGTGTGCACTAGATTTTATTTTTGGAAAAACTTGGCTCCTTAAAATTGAGGAGGAGCTCCTCCTCAGAACAAATTGAGTTTTGACACTAGTCAAATTCATTTAATTTTTTTAGCATGATTTGGCTACATAAAATTGAGGAGAAGTTCCTCCTTAAAACCAATGAAATTTTGACACTTGTCAAAACTCAGCAACATTGAAAAAGTTTCAATAAAAAAGAATTTTTTTAAAAAAATTTGACACATGTCAAAACTAGATTGATTGTAAGAAGGAGCTCTTACTCAATTATAAGGAGCCAAACTTTTTCCTATTTTTTATTCTCTTTTGAATTCCTTGGTGAAAAATGTGCACTAGATTAGACATCTCGTACTTTGCAAGTTTCAAGTCAATTACATATTTGCGTGCCACCTTTTCATTGTCAAGCCAAGCACATTAATTTGACATGCGCGAGTGTGGACTCTCGGCTTTCTCCCTTCACCCTCGCATACGTGCATTGAACGTTCTCCTCCCTAAGTTCTATTAACATAGGTTTTTCTCTCTGGTCGTGCTCTTTGATCCTTCATCGTCCATTCCTTTTAAAGCTTTTCTCTTTCTTTGTTGAACGTTTCCGTGTATGTTGTACTGGGTCTTAATCTGTTCAAACTTGAAAAGGCTTTTAAACTTGAGAAATTGTACAAAAATTGCCTTAGATCTTATGATGTGTTCGCTCTACTTATATATGAACTATCTTTTACCGGTTAGTTTTCGTTTCTTGGAGAACTTATGTTGATTAGCTTTTTTGTTTGGCCCAAAGTAAAAATCACAATTTAATATGTCGTTCGAATCGCAATCTCTTTGTTGCTGCATTTTATCACACACAATGTCTGTTAAAACTTATGATGGTCATTGGTTAAGGCATTTATTTGTATGTTCGTGATGTGTGAGATTATGTCACAGATCATCACACTATTATAATTCATTACTTTTAGCCATTTTGTAGGATGAGCATGGCCTTCACAAGAATCTAGATCAGGAGTTCGCTCAGAAGGTTTTTGCAAGCCAAGCTAAGGAAATTTAAAATTATAATTATAAAAATAAAATAATAAAAAAATAAAAAATAAAAAACTACCAAGATAACAGTAAGCATTGTAATTTTTTTTCTTCCCATAAACATAAACATAAAGATGAAACAACGTGCATTAAAACTAGATTAGTGAAAACATTTAAGAAAGACACATTGGAATCACTTGTAATCATTAAGCAAAACAACATCAATCATTCATTGCTACTTCTAACTTTGTGCACGTGAAGACTCTGCTTTGGTTTTTTCATCATTTTACTTCGTAAATCTCTTCCAATCACTTTCACAGCACAATCAAGTTTTCCAGTTGAGAGTACGAGATATCCCGTAGATATTCCAATTACCATTCCAATCCCATACCCCATCCATACTACTTTCCAATGAAATCCATTCACATCCTCCAAATCATCTTCTTGCTGAAAGGATGATGATGGCAGTGGATATACCACAGCATTGATGCAAGTTCTGGAAAGTGGAAGTCCACACAACCCCAAATTTCCATTGTATGAATCGTTCTCAAATGTATCAAATTGCTTGCCATTGGGTATGGACCCCACAAGTCGGTTTTCTGAAAGGTTTAATTTTGAAAGCATTGCCAAATCTGCCAATTCTCTAGGAATCTCACCAACAAGCCTGTTTGTGGAGATGTCTAGCCATTCAAGATTAGTCAAATTACCAAAAGAGCGTGGAATATAACCTGTAAGCTGATTGTGAGAAAAGTTAAGCCCTTTCAATGATTTGAGCTTACCAATCACCGTTGGAATGTCTCCTACGAAAATATTGTTTGAGAAATCAATGGTTGTGAACATGACTAAGATTTTTTCCAACTGAAAGTAGGAACCTTTTATCACTACCATCACAGTGTCCTGATAATAGCCATGATCCATGTATTTCAATCCATTATCTCGTACATGTATCATACCCATCAAGTTCTCAAAATATTTCCTTGGCAAAAGACCACTAAACTGATTGTGGGAGAGGTCCATAATTCGCAACATTCGGAATGGAAATCTAGTTTTTTGACTGATTATAGGACCATGAAATTTGTTAGATCTCAAGATAAGAACCTGTAACATTGGAAGGGATTCCAACCAGTTGGGGAAGGTGTCGTTTATCTCGTTGTTTCCTAGGTCGAGCACTTCCAACTTTCTACAATTCAACAGAGTTCGCGGCAATGGCCCTTCCAACTTATTTCCATTAAGGTCAAGATTCCTCAAGATGCTATCCTTTGTGAATGTTGAAGGGATCACTCCAAGAAATTTATTTATATGTAAATCCACAACTGAGAGGTTGTGACTGGTCAAATTTCCTATACATGGAGAAATTTCGCCGCTCATGTTGTTATTAGACAAATCAAGGACTACAAGGGAACTGAGGTTGCAAATCTTTGAAGGAATCCCTCCCGTCAACTGATTGTGTGATACCAAGAAGACAAATGTAGAAGGTGGTGGAATAGGAAGTTGTCCTTGGAGCAAATTGGTGCGGAGGTCAAGAACTTGTAAGTTTTTCCACGGAAATACTTGTTCTATACCTGTCAAAGAGTTATTAGAAAGATGAATTTGCCTAAGAAGATTTTGGGCTTTCTGAAACTTTCCAAACTTCACAAACCCACTGAAGTTATTTGATGACAGATATCGAGCTCTCCCAGGTTTGGAAATTCAAAGATTGATCTTGGAATTTGGCCATGTAATCTGTTACTACCAAAATTAAGATACACCAAAGGAACTAGATTGGAATTCTTTGATGTTGCCAATGAATTGGTTGTCGTTGAGCCTTAAAACTTCCAAAGAGGGCAAGATATACAGCCAAGATGGTATTGTTCCGGTAAGTGAGTTATTATATAAGGAGAGGACGTTTAAATGCAAAGGAATAGGACCGACTAGCTGTTCTTTTGAAGAATCATATAAAGATGCAGGCATTTGTGTTGAGTTACTATGAAGATCTGGAAGTTGACCCAAAAAATTGTTGTTTGAAAGATCTAAGGAAATGCGACTCTCCATGTTTAAAAGCGACCATGGGATCTGGCCACCAAAACCATTATCTGAGAGGTCCGACTCCGTGATTTGTGTAAGATTACCAAGCAATGTAGGGTATGCTCCTACAAAATTGCAATGCTCAAGATACAAAACACTCAAGCACTTCAAAGTTGTACTCAGATTCGGTAAATCTATTGAGATTCTAGTCCAAGAGAGTCCCAAGAACTTGAGTGGACTGCTCCAATTAGATTTTGGGAAAGAACCATTGAGCTCATAGTTGTATCTTAAATCAAGTTCATGGAGGTTTGGTAGGCGGAAAATTTTCTCTGGGAATTTCCCTTTCAAACTAGAATCAAAGAGTCTAAGAGATGTCAAAGAAGAAGGCAAATTCATGAATGAATCAAGTACAACTGAAGATATGTTAACACTGTCCAGACATAGCTCCTTAAGCTTGGTTAGGTTTTGGGCAATTCTTTTCAAACTAACTGTCCCTAGGCTCACTTGAGTCTCAGAAGAGAGATTAAGTGAAACCAATTTGGAAAGGTAGGAGATTTCAAAAGGGATTTGACCAGTGAAGTTGGAGTTGGAAAGGTCAAGGTGAGTCATACTTACAAACCCGCCAAAGTTGGATGAAACTGGGGAACCTCTGAAATTGTTGTTAGAGAGGTCTAGCCTCCGGAGATGACGAAGGGAGAAAAGACTGCTGTTGTGATGAATGTTGCCTTGAAGCCCACTGTACCCAAGGTTGAGGCCTATCACGTGCCCCGTCATTATTCTTTCACAAGTGACGCCACTCCATGTGCAACAGTCCTTGCCCTTATCCCAATAGACAGTTTTAGGATAAGGAGTGATTCCATAAACAAAAAAAGCTTCAACAGAATCAGAACCAGAGGTATCAATAGAGAATGAGTTCTTGAATTGAAGCAAAGCAGAACTATCATCAAGATGACACAAATGACCTGAAGAAGAAGAAGAATTAAATGAGGATAAGCAGATAAATTGAGAAGTGCATAACAAGAAGAGGAGATACAGCCATGAAAACGACTCCATCTTGGACATGAAACTATTTTTGTGCTGAAAATGCTGTGTGTGTAGTTGGAGACTCTACATGCATATTTATAGGCATGCCACCTATTTGATTATTTATTGCCCCTCCTTCGCAATATGTCTTAAAGAATAAATAGTTGACAAAGCACGTTTGAATATGACAAGAATGTTTGATGCAGATATATGGCATGCGCCTGTGCTGCAAGTGGCAAAGCTTTTCTCTTTTTGTGAATGCTTTTTGTTTCTTTATTATTATTTTTTGCTTGAACATTCACAATTTACAAGAAAATTTTATAAGGAGTGATCAACGATCATATTACGAATATATCGTCAATTATTTTTTATATATATAGTGTTAAATTCAGAGAGACGGGTCAACGGTCCACTACTAATAATACTGATATTGTCCCTAACTTAACTACCTACAAAGTCTAGTAGGTGTGGGGTTTATCATAAAAGGCCTCGGTATTATTAGTAGTAGAATCATTCATTATATTTTGTATTTTATTTGGTCAAGTTTCTAATGTGGGACTCATATTCTTCAACATATAATCCCCTTCTATTGATGGATTCTTCAAATAATTTTATTTTAGGGACACCCTTTAAGGTCTCATATGTAATTTGTTTTCAACGATCCAAACCATCTATTTTTCACATCTTCATTCAGAGATCATCCATGCAAAACATCATGCAAATTGAAAATCATTTAGGCATTTAATTGAGACCAACAAAATCAATGAACACGATGCTTTAAGAAAGTACTTGAATTTCAATTATTTAATTAAGTGGTGAAATGATATTAGATTCAAATAATTTTTTTTGTAGAAATGATTTTTGAATGAATATCTACAAAATAGACGGTTTGGATTAGTGAAATACAATGTTAAGTGGGCTCTACAAGGGTGTCCCTCCAGTAAGTATTTGAGGGATCCCTCAATGGAATCTCTCTCTCTCTCTCTCTCTCTCTCCCTCTCTCTCTCTCTCTCTCTCTGTGAGAGGTTGGTCAGGTATTTCTAAAAGAAAACGTTTCATTCTTATGATCAAAGGTATCTACTACTGTATCTTCCACACCAGTCTATTTCAAAAATGGCAGACAAGCAAATCTCAAGGCATCTCAAGTTTGATTTGGATGCTATGAGTTAAATAATCTTAGAATCCTGCAAACATTATGTTCTTCTAGCTCTTATGATCACCACAGCATTTGTTTATTCATTATTATAAAGGAAGTAAAACTTCGGTTTAGGTTTGTGAGATTGTTAATTATATAGAGATAATGCTGTTTCAACTTTTGAGTAGTATACATTTTCTTTTCCTTTTTTCAGTGGTCCAAAAGTTACAGAGTCCCATTCAAAAAGGAAGGCTATGAAAATCCCGTGAATCTTTGCTCCAATACGATGTACCTGCCGTCATCCAATTATTAAAGATTTTGGAGAATTCTGAGCTTGCCAAACTCCACAATACCACTCAAGTTTTTTGATGATAGATCAAGCCATAAAACATTCGTAAGTTCAATATCGATTTCGGGATTTCTACCACAGGCCTAACATAATGATAATTGATCACTAGAGTCTTCGACCACATCACGTAGCTGGTGTAGGTTTCATCCCACTGACTGGAATGAACCCTGTGAAATGGCAAAAACTGACTTCTTCTTGATGGAAGAGTCTCGGTGGAGGAGAAGACAATGACCACCCCATCATTAATTCCTCAAGATTTTCTGAAATTGTTAAGGATGATAAAATTGAGAAGCAGATGAAAACATTTGCTTGGTTACATGTGAATGCAAGTAATTCTGAAGGACAAGTTAAGGTCTGTTTCTTGGAATTAATATGTAGGGCAGCTTGGCTTGTTAAGAAAGTAAAATCTTCAAAACGTTGTTAGTGGCTGCTTTTGTTGGGATAGGATTCCATCCCATGATAACTGTTTCTGTGGTTTGATTTTTGTTAAGAAGAAGTGCTTGCTAGAAGGAC